CTATAAAAACGTCAAGGCACTCGGATTCAAGCTTCCTCGTGCTTTAACTGTAACTGTTCAGGACAAAACAATACTTTATTACACAACACATGTGGGTAGATCAAACGTTATTTCTTAAATTCAATGTCAAGACAAATTATAAGCTGACGTCAATCTGTCGCGAGATGGATAGATTGATTGAAGCGCTGGTAAGAGTACATTCGGCGGCAACGAGAAAGTGGAATTAAAAGTTACCAGGTTGTTGAAAAATTTCACAGTCTTGATCTTTCGAGAAGTTTCGGGATGGCATGGCTTCTGGAGTGACACGAGGATGATTCGAGGCCTGACCTGTGCCTTATCTACTTGCCAAGTGGGAAACCTAGCCCAAACACCAAAATCATGCCAATTTCCAACATTATTCAAGATCCAAGTGAGGTGAGGTGAAATTGGGTTTAACGTCGCGTCCAAGATTATTGCACTTATATAGCGACGTGCATGTACGTGTGTGTGTGTGTGTGTGTGGCTGCTTGTACTAGTCCGGACTGATGCCGATTTATAGTGCTAGCTCACTGATATACCATGCCGCAGATTAACATGAATATCCCACTCAGACACAGTATACTGATTCCGAGCCGACCAGTCCTTGTTTTAGCCCTTTAATGCCGAGCACCAGACAGGGTAACAACAAGTACCATCTTTTAACGTCTTTAGGTATGACGCGGCCGGGGATCGAACCCCGGACCTTCCGCTCTCCGGGCGGACGCTCTACCACTAGACCACGGAGGCGGTCCCAGATCCAAGTCCAAACTGTCAGTTGGGGTGAGTTCAAATAATGATGAGGTGAAAAAGGTTCTTCAGAAGGCTTATCAGTTAGTCACTGAGGCATATCGGCAAACAATTAGGCAGTAGATGTTCATGTTGAATTTGTTAGGGAAAAGTAACTGTGTTTTGAAGGTGGTGCTTGTCGAAGTATTTGGACCATGATTTTGAGGCAGCTGATTTTGTTGGAAGATTTTAAACAGTATATGGATGCACTTGTTTGGATCAAGAAAAGTTGATGGTCAGTTACGCGAGGCGTCATGTTTTCAGATAAATCCTCGGTTACTCAAATAGGGATGGTCGCTATTTCAATGAATGGAATCTTTTATTAATACTAGGAATAATTATATGAAATAATGTAGATATAAAAGGTATAAATTTGAGTAATGTTGAATTCCTCATACAACAGTTTGCATACGATACATTGATGTGTATTAGATGTTTGGCTTGTGGTTTTACGCCGCACTCAGCAATATTACAGCTATATGAAGGCGCTCTGTAAAATAATCGAGTCCGGACCAGACAATCCAGTGATTGATATCATGAGCATCGATCCACGCAATCGATGATCTGCATCAACCAAGTCAGCGAGCCTGACCACCCGATCCCGTTAGTCGCCTTTTACGACAAGCATAGTCGCCTTTTATGGCAAGCATGAGTTGCTGAAGACCTATTCTTCCCCGGATCTTCACGGGTCAATTGTGTATTATATGGAACTGAACGCTGTCAACATGCAGTACTGCGAGTACTTATTGTTTTTTGCACTTTCTCTGGGATAAAAGTAAACATTGATAAGACACTGATTATTTGGATAAAATAAATGTATGTATGTTCATGATGTCAGTCACTGGATTGTCTTGTCCAGGCTCGATTATGTACAGACCGCCGTCATATGGCTGGAGTATTGCGCGAGTGCGGCGTTAAACAACAAACAGATAAAAAACTCCTACACACTCATTCTTATGAAATACCCGTGAGGTAACGCACACACATTCACTTACTTACTCCATAAAAGGCGACCAACCGGATCGTGTGGTCAGGCTCGCTGACTTGGTTGATACATGTCATAGATCCCAATTGCGTGGATCGATGCTCATGATGTCAATAACTAGATTCTCTGGTCCAGACTCGATTAATTTACAGACTGCCGTCAAGTAGCTGGAATATTACTGAGTGCGGCGTTAAACAACAAACAAACAAACAAACAAACAAACAATCCATTGATTGACATCACGAGCATTGAGCTACGTGAGTGTGAAACGAAGGCATCTATGCGCATGTTGCATCGTATAATGTTGATTTTATTCATGATGCCATTGAGGAACAAACTCAGGTTCGTTGGTTGAATGTTTTCATTGATAAACATAGGTTAAGTGGATGTAGTTTCCACAGCGGATCAAACCACAGCTTACCGCCAGCGGATGATCCTCCATTGATTGTAAATCTAGTGGAGATTTCAAACATGAGTCATCCAAATAAGTTCCAATGATTACGTCCCTATTTTGGTATCTTCTGTTTTGTCTAATAGCACGACCATCATTGGTCATGTCATTGTTGCACATGGACAATTGTACCCGTGAAGATCCGGGTTAGAATAGGTCTTCAGCAGCCAATGCTTACCGTAAAAGGCGACTTTGCTTGGCGACTAACAGGATCAGGTGGTCAGCCTTATTACTTGGTTTGATGCATGTCATCGTATCCCAATTGCGTGGATCGATGCTAACTGGATTGTCTGTTCCATACTCGATTATTCACAGACCGCTGCAATATAGCTGGAATATTGCTGAGTACTGCATTTAACAACAAACCAACAAACAAAACTTTCCAAGGCTAGACCAGTCCTGTCTCACTTGAACATCACATAACATTCCCATAAGAACCCTTTACATCCATCTATGCTATAACGGAAGTTTTTCGATAATACGAGTATCTGAAAATAATAACTTCCTCACCATTGCTTCAATAAAGTAGTACTACATTCCTGACAAGTAATCATTGTCCAAACACAACGCAATGAACTTCTACTGAATCTAAACAGAACAATGTAATACAGTTACGAATCGCACTTCTATATAACAGGAAGGATACGCTTACCTTTTCGCGAACACCTGGTATCATCACTATTTAATAGTGATTCATTGGCACGTGCTTATGACCATAGTCGGAATCGTACAATGGACTCTGATTTTTGCAGAGATGTTTTATCTTATTTGTTTGTGTATTGTTCAACGCAACACTCTGCACCCTGCTATGTGACGGCGGTCTGTAAATAATCGAGACTGGACAAGACAATCCAGTGATAGACATCATGAGCATCGATCCATGCAATTGGGATACGATGACATGCTTGAACCAAGTCACCAAGCCTGACTACCCGATACCGTTAGTCGACTCTTATTGAAGATCAATTCTAACCCGGATCTTGATCGGTCGAGAAATAAAGGTACGATCAGCCGCGGGACTTGCTGTTTCACGTAGAAAAGTGGCAGAAAGCATTACCGAGGAACAAGAAGCCCTGCTGTGGGAGACAGGGCCACAAGAAAAGTACATGCAACGAAAGCCTCTGGATAGCATCATGTATCACACAGGTTAATAAGAGTATTTTTGTTAATTTTAATTCAGTAGTAACTGTCTACTACTCAAATTCTGTTTGCAACAAACTCATTATTATGCAATAACCTTTATTGTCCAAAAGTATGTGCGATCATATATTACTAGTTGTCTTTTATAATCGGAAATGCCTTCGTAGCTATTATGTAACAAAATTATGATATGGAGGTACACATAAACGTGTAATACACCGGTCTGCTTAAACATCGGTCTGCTTAAACATGAAGTTGGTTGGTTTGTTGTTTAACGCCGAACTCAGCAATAATCCAGCTATATGACGGCGGTCTGTTAATAATCGAGTCTGGACCAGATAATCCAGTGATTAATATCATCAGCATCGATCCACGCAATTGGGATCGATGACATGCATCAACCAAGTCAGCAAGCCTGACCACCCGATCCAGTTAGTCGCCTTTTACGACAAGCATAGTCGCCTTTTACGGCAAGAATGGGTTGCTGAAGACCTGTAAAAGGCGATTATGCTTGTCGTAATTGCGTGGGTCGATGCTCATGGTATCAATGACTGGATTGTCTGGTCAAGACTCGATTATTGTCATATAGCTGGAATATTGCTGAGTGCGACGTTAAACAACAAACAAACCAAACCCAAACTGCAGGCAAGAGAATTCAGTGTGAAACCAACAAACAGCCAGCACGTGGTCTACATTAGCAATTGTATTATATAATGAACTTGTTTAACAAATTAATACAACTTACTCCAACATAATTACAATGGTAGTCAGTACACAATTCTATGGCTGTATATAATAAAACAGAAGGGGTTATAGCAAAAATGTCAGTGATACTAATAATATTCACCTTGCAGGCAACAGTGGTTGAGGTTCCAAAATAGACCAAGACTGGATTTAAAGGGTGAAAAATGATCTTGATGTAATGTGAAGTGAGATATGTGACACTTTGGTCCAGTTTAATACCATGCTGGAATAGTCATTAGCATTCTAGAAGATTCCAGATTGTACTCGACTCCAAAAGCATCGAAATAGAAAAACTTAAACACCACTCCTTCAGCTTCTGAAGTTGTCGTTTTCTTGGTGGCAGTATTTAAATTGACGTGTGAAAGGACGTATTTCACAATATTTATGTTTCCACTTTCACATGCCAAATAAAGAATATCGTGGCCGTTTCTATCGACAAATGACAGATTTGCTCCTTTTTTCTCAAGTATGTCAAACACTTCTCTATTTCCAAAAAAAGCCGCCATCATGACTGCGCTCATTCCGCCGTCTCCTCTTCTGTTAATGTCTACTATATTCTGTGCGAGAATAAACTCCGCTATCTCCAACTTTCCACCAAACGAGGCAGAATGAAGAATGGTGTTGTCATATTTATCCACAAGTGCCAGACTCGCTCCTTTCTGCAGAAGTAAATCAAATGCTTCTTTATTTTGACTTATTGCTGCAATCATGAGTGGAGTCTCCTCATTTTTTGTTCTCGTGTTGATGTCATCCACAATATTCTGTGTAACAATATACTTCACTATGTCCATGTTAAATCCACGACAGGCCAGATGAAGAATGTTCTCTTGGTTTGCATTTACGCTTCTTAGATCAGCAGATTTACTAACCAGCAAGTCAAACACCTCTCCAAGTCCCCTTTCTGCTGCCAGCATCACAGCTGACATGCCCTGAAAATCTTGACTGAATGTCCACAATATCTTTTGAGATTACATACTCCACTATTTGCGTAAATCGTCCTTTGCAGGCAATGTGAAGGACGTTGCAACGAGAAGCTGCCTCCAGTGTCAGATCAGCCCCTTTCCTCATAAGTAAGTCAAGTATTTCTCTATGTCCTCCATCTGCTGCCATCATTGCTGGTGTAAATGCATAGTTTCCTTTGGTGTTGATGTCTATGTTGTTTTGTTTGAGGACATACTTCACTATATTAACATTTCCACCTTTACATGCCAAATGAAGGATGTCGTTGTCGTCGTCGTCGTCATCCACATCCACAGTTATATCTGCTCCTTTTCTGATAAGTAAGTCAAATATTACTCTGTATCCTTTGTCTGCTGACGTCATTGCTGCCGTCTGTCCATTCCATCCTATGCTGTTGATGTCTTTAACATTGTGCTGGAGGACATACCTGACTTTATCCGCATTTCCTCCATAACAGGCCCAGTGAAGGATAAACTCGCCTCCTGTATCCTCTGGGGACAGATTAGCTCCTTTCTTCACAAGTAACTCAAACGTATCTCTATGACCGTTCATTGCTGCTACCATTACTGGGGTTAATAAATCCTCTCCTTCGGTGTTTATTGCAACAAGGTTCTGTTCGAGAACATATTCCACTATGTCAGTATTTCCTCCCTCACATGCCTTGTGAAGGATTGTGTCATGAATTACAATTCCATCATGCATTAAAGACAGATCAGCGCCTTTTTGCACTAAGAAATTAAACACGTCCAGTTTCCCGTAATATGCTGCATGCATTACAGGTGTCTGTCCGCTGTATTTCCTGTTTATCTCCATCCTGGTCTGATTGAATACAGACCTTACTATCTCAGCATTTCCTCCCCGAATGGCATTTTCAAGAACAGTAGATCCCATATCATCCACTAGTGTTAGATCAGCTACTTTACTCACTAGCAATTTAAATACGTCTCCATGTCCCCTTAACGCTGTTAACATCACTGCAGTCGACCCGTCCCGACTTCTACTGTTGATGTCTGTCACGTTCTGTTCCAGGACATACTTGACTATTGGAATATTTCCCCCTTCACATGCCACATGAAGGATGCTCATCCGAACACTATTCAAGATTGACATACTCGATCCTTGTCCCACGAGAAAGTCAAACACCTGTCTGTGAGCATTTTGTGCTGCAAGCATCAATGGTGTCATTCCGTCCTGCCCTCTTGTGTTAATATCCGCTTGACCCCCAGATAGTATGTATTTGACTCGGCACATGTCTCCATTCTTGCAGGCATCGAGGAGATTAGTGTTTGACTGAGTTTGGTATTGCGTATGATTCTGTATTACTGTAAGAAGACATAACGATGTGTCAGCACAAAGATATATATTGACGTTTCTATATTGATCTGCAACTTACTTTGACATCTTATTTGGTTAAGTACGCGTACTTTTATAGTTGGTTGGTTGGTTTGTTGTTTAACGCCGCACTCAGCAATATTCCAGCTAGATGATGGCGGTCTGTAAATAATCGAGTCTGGGCCAGACAATCCAGTGATAAATATCATGAGCATCGATCCACGCAATTGGGATCGATGACATGCATCAACCAAGTCAGCGAGCCTGACCACCCGATCCCGTTAGTCGCCTTTTACGACAAGCATATCATAGTCGCCTTTTACGACAAGCATATCATAGTCGCCTTTTACGGCAAGCATGGGTTGCTGTAGATCAATTCTACCCCGGATCTTCAAGGGTCACCATCTTCGAAAAAAACCCACCATTGACAAAAGGTAAAGTCTCTTACGTTTTTATCACCAGGAACATACATATCAATGTGCGTTCTGTTCACAACTTGTTTCCAATATTTGGCTGTCGGTAGCCTAGTGGTTAAAGCGTTCCCTCCTCACGCCGAAGACCCGGGTTCGATTCCCGACATGGGTACAATGTGTGAAGCCCATTTCTGGTGTTCCCCGCCGTGATATTGCTCGAATATTGCTAAAATCGGCATTAAACCATACTCACTCACAAACTAGTTGCACTTATTTCATCCCCTTTCATAATCTCGTAGTGTTTGTTGTCTATCGCTTCATCACTCAGATATTGGACAACGTCCTGCTAATCCTGGGCCAGACAATCCAGTGATTGGTATTGTGGTTTTGGTTTGGTTTGGTTTATTGTTTAAATCCGCACTCAGCAATATTCCAGCTATATGACGGCGGTCTGTAAATAATCGAGTCTGGACCAGACAATCCAGAGATTGACAACATGAGCATCGATCCACGCAGTTGGTACCGATGACATGTATCAACCAAGTCAGCGAGCCTGACCACCCGATCCCGGTAGTCGCCTTTTACGACAAGCGTAGTCGCCGTTTACGGCAAGTATGGGTTGCTGAAGACCTATTCTACCCCGGATCTTCACGATTGATATTGTGAGCAAGGTGAAGTGGTAGCATTGAGTTTAACGTTACGTTCAAGATCATTGCACTTATGCAGCGACGTGGATGCACGTGTGTGTTTGGCTGCTTGTACTAGTCCGGACTAATGCCGAATTTATAGTGCTAGCCTCCTGAGATACCATGCCGCAGTTTAACATGAATGTGCCACTCAGACACAGTATATATTCCTTGTTTTCCTTCTTTTAATGCCGAGCGCAAGGCGGGACAACAACAAGTTTCATCTTTAAACGTATTTAGGTATGACACGGCTAGGGATCGAAACCCAGACCGTCTGCTCTCCCAGCGGACACCCTACCACTAGACCACGGAGTCGGAAAGCCCCAAGTGATGCAGGTCTAAGACGTTTACCACTTCGTTGAAACCAACGACCACGATTATGGTGCTGACAAAACTAGAAACATGATCGAGGTGAATCGTAATTCGAACCCACAGACACATTGTACCCATGTCGGGAATCGAACCCGGGTCTTCGGCGTGACGAGCGAACGCTTTAACCACTAGGCTACCAGATCGCCCTTCAAGCAAAATGATAACATATTGGTCATGGTAAGATTAAGCAAAAAGTTTAATACGTTAACCTACTGAATGCTCATATCCCTGGGAACTTTGAATGGCTCAATTAGGTGTGAGACGTGTTCATTGCTCCAAAGGCCACATTATATCACGGCGTGTCAGCTTAATGTGGGAGGAAAGCCCCAAGTGATGAAGGTCTCAGACGTTTACCACTTTGGTGTAACCCACGAGCACGGGTATGGTGCTGACAAACCTAGAAACATAATCGGGGCGAACCGGTATTCGAACTCACAGGTCTCTGGCGTACTCAAGGGACGCAATTCTGCACAACGAATTTCGGCGCCTTAGACGACTGGGGCACCCGTGACCCAAGTTTGTTTAAGATTTGTATTAACTGGTATTTCGCTTGAAACTGTTCTCGTCGGATAATCGAGACTGGAGCAGAAGCAGCCAATGTTTGACTTAAAAGACTGGTTTGTGTGTGTCTTGTGTATTCCAATGTGTTGAGATGGTATTAAAAAATCAATTACATTTAGATTTAAATGACTGTCCTAGTTGCCGTACACCTCTATAACAAAACCCAAATAACATCGAGACTTGAATAGTCTCTTTGCAACCTAGGTCAGCAGTAAAACACATTGAATAGGATCTTCCGGGTTACGGTGAACGTAGACGTCACGTGACCTGTTGTATTCGTGTGGTACATCTGAGGGTATTTCTGAATATATATTTCACTCCGAGCAGGTAAGTAGTGCTTTAAAGTTGTTGAAGACTACACCGATTGTGCTGTCTGTCCTTTCTACCAGGTAAGCATAAATTACAGCATTCTAATTACAGGACGTCACATGTCATCATGACCTTCTGCTTTCCGGGCGGACGCTCTACCACTAGACCACGGAGGCGGTTCCACTTGTTATAAGAATATACATCAGTACCAAGCACAGAATGACAAACATAACAACTGAGTCTCATTACGCATTACGAACTTCCTCTACTACTTTAGCTCATTGTTGTGTTCATGACATCTGACGTCAAGATTCTAGAATATTCATCCGTGAACATAGCATTGTTTAACCTGCCAAACCCTCTCCCGGACTTAACAAAATGGCGTAAGACCTGGAACGAGGCTGACCTGGAATCAAACCGAGGCATACCGGAACTACAGAAACATCAGTCGTTTTGACAGTGGCGAATTCCTTGTGAACATCACCAACAGAATGGTTTCGTCAAGAGGGGTAGTCAGGGAAGCCTGGGGCCTGGAGCTGCTGAACAGTGACGTCCTCTGTAAGTCAGCAAAACATGTCTCGTCATTGTTCTTAATGCCTGAGCATATTGTTCAATATATCAACAACTCGTATTCATATAATAAGCTAGAGATAACGTAATTTAATGTTTGTTTGATGCTGCTAAAGTAGCTGGGCTGTTTGAAATCTTGGTGGATTTGACCTCACATTTAAATATATATAGGCACTTTTGAAGTGAAACTAATCTTTTGTCGAGAATTCAACATCAACAACATTAACAAATAATACAGCAGAAGTTCCACAAGGATGTGCAATAACCTCATCGTGAAATAATGTTTTATGGGAAACTAAACTTGACATTTTCATTCGAAAGAGAGAATACTATCGACAAATACAAACTCAAAACATTGTAAGTTGAGGAAAGCTTTTTATTATTCGATTACACTGGTTAATCACTAGATTGCGGTTATGGAATCTGTAAAGTTTGATTTGTTCTGGTTGACACGAATCAAGGGAATCTTCATTTCTGAAAAAAAATATTTACACAAATCAGATAGCATTTTGTTGCAAAGTACTTACATACCTTTGCTCTGCGATAGATTGCATTATACGAACAGGTTGTGTCAGTTGATGTTTGATTTTATTTCATCTGTTGATTTTTGGTATTAAGATAAACCCACTAGGTCCTGCCCTCGAGAGTATGTACATCACATGCAGCATCGACTCCAACGCTGCCCCCGACGTCTTACATCTGGACAAACTCACGAGGGCATAGTGTGCAGCAAGGGGCACAACCCACCCTGACACTGACAGCTGTTGGACCTGCCACCACCGGGCGGTATAAGTGTACAGCCATCAACAAGATGGAAAGTACAACCGGGGCAATGGAATCAGGACTTGGATTTGGAGATGTTCTGGTCACCATTGGAGGTTTGTTAAACTTGGTATAATTGATTCCGGACTTCCCTCGTTTTATATTATTTTATATTAAAACAACATCTAGGTTTTATATTAAACAAACATTTCTGGTGATACCATTAAACAAAACTATGAAGTGAATCGTATACTGACAGTAAACAGATATTGCAATTGTTTCCTGTATTTCAGGTATACATACATACATGTATTATGTGCATTTACAACCAATTTCGAGTCTAGCCGTTAAACCTACCACTTAATTTTGATGAATTTTGTTTCAACAACCCCTTGACATGTTGTGTCAATGTAAAATTGAAGAGTTTCCATACATTTGGCATATTATCATTTATCAAAAAAATAAACTCGAGCGTGTCAAGGCGATTTTCAAGAACGGTACAAACTATTAAAAAATGATATATTTGTTTGAAAACTAGCAAACTCCAAATACTTCCTCT